ACAACCATAACTACACCACCCTGTGGCATTTATACATTTTGCTCTAGCCACAATTTTTTTTAGTTCCAGGGCTCTGTCCCCTGGACCCCCATGGTTATTATTCAATACATTCTAACCATACTGGATTGCCAGGGAGCTCTGCCACTTGGACCCCAGGGTAAATGACCCAGAGCAGGCGGGAGATTTTACCGTAACAAATAAAAACTCAACATTTTCCTTACAATAAATCACAGAATATATTTGCTTCTACAGATCATTTGCTTGCCTCTGACATTTGGGACACTTGATGGGCCCAAATATCAAACTGAGGGTTACTAACGTCTGTTTCTCCTGCATAGTTGATTTGGAGGTAATTTTTTAGTTTTACACAACCATCCAATCTTACAATTATTATTCCTTGTTTCAATTGTTCACATTGTAATGTGTTAATCTTTTATTTTCCATGGCATATGATACAGACTAGATGAAAGTACTGGCATTTGTTTATGAAATGATCTCGCCTCTCTGCTCCAGCCACTATTGGGGTCCTCAAACATTTGTTTCAGCAGCAACAACAAAAAAGTAAGAAAAAAAGAAAGAAAGAAAGAAAGAAACGAAAGAAGAAACCTTCAAAGACCCCTACCTGATCACCGTAAACTTATTCTTCACATTCCATTAATCACAATATTTTCTTCCTTTCTGACTCTTTTCTTTTGACTGCGCAGATTATTTCAACTATAAGTGAGTAGTAGTTTTTCCCCTTCCTTATGAAAGTGTCATTACATTTTCCTTCAAATGCATACCAATTTATTATGCGCTGAACATCTTTCTCGTTATCAAGAAGGAAATACCACAGATGATGAGTCTTACTTTCAGTATTTCTATTCAGAACAAGATAAAGCCTTATACCATATGGCTGTGTGAAACTGAACTATAGTGCTTTGGAAATAACCTAGAATTGATGTAACACTGTACGAGACATTTCTCGCCAGCACTTGTCAAGGAATGGAGTCTACTGGCACTGTAAAAAATCCAGGTTGTGAAAATGTACGTGAACAGTTTATTGCAATGAATTATAATACTATCTGTTCCAACACACAGCAGAAATATAATAATAATAATGAAAGAATATGTTAACTAGAAAAATATATAGAAGAAGGGATTGATAATCATAAAATAAAATTATTTATACAAATGCATACATGAACTACTTGACATATTATAGTAATGAGTTATGAGGTCACTGAAGTATTTATCTTCATGATGTATACACAATGAGCAACTGGTCAATATTCTCTATTCTCTGTTACATATCTTGGATTTTTTCCTCTCTCTAACATGTTGCATGACTTTCTTATTATCAACTTGAAAAGGCAATACCACAGATAAAAAAATGTGTTACTGGCCACCATTCTTTTCATTACAACATGCAAAATTTACCTTATACATTTTAATTTTGTGAAACAAACTATAACCACCACTTAAATACAGCTCTTGTGAAGATATTCATTCTCATTAACACCTTATCTTTCTGCAAACCTGATTGTCATCTCAATACTCACAATAATTCATATCAATTTGATGGCATGATGTCAAGATATCTCAGCAACCTAATATATACAATGAAGGTTAACTGGCTTTTGCTGGAATGTGCAGAGACTGAAACAGCAAAACATTACTAGATAATATGCAGATGAAAGTGATAAAGAAATAAAGGATGTGGAGCGGTATTCACAAAAGGTCAAATCTAAGTTAGCACATAATTACAACTTACATTTACATTCACTAATCTAGTGAATCTCAATTATATATAATGGCTATAATAATGCACATCTATCTTTTATGTTTATGTAGCACCCTCTACATTTGTTATTGATTGAGTCAGCTGAGAAGGCATGTGCCACCATTTGTATTTATCTATGAGAAAACTGCAGTAAACAGAGGAGGGAGGAAATATCCCAATTAGCATTTGACAATACGTAAAAATAAGTGTCATCCCTCTCTGGAACGGGAAAGGGGATTATTGGGACTGCAGCAACTACCACATTCTTCTGAAATGGATCCATGACCACCTACTGATGCACCAGAGACCGGAGCAGTCTGGATTCACTCCTGGCAAGTCCACAATAGACCATATCCTAGTGCTTTCAGTAATTGTAGAACCCCGTTGTGAGTGTGGTTGTGGGTTGCTTTCAGCTTACATTGACCTTAAGAAAGCATTTGATGTGGTGCATCGAGAATTGCTATGGGAGATTCTGAGACTTAGAGGAATCCCGACACAGATTATTGGCCTAACAGCAAGCCTATATACCAGAACTGAAATTGCTGTAAAGTGTGGTGGGGGGCCTGTCAAACTTCTGCCCTGTTAATTCATGGGTGAGGCAAGGCTATGTCTTTGCACCAACACTTTTCAACAGCTGCATGGATTGGATAATGGGCAGAGCTACTACCCAAAGTCAGTGTGGAGCAACACTGGGCAATATCAAGTTTCCAGACCTTGACTGGAGTCACTGGTGGCAGC